TGTCCAAAAGTGGCAGGTGAAAACCCAGAATCTCAAGCCATGGCTGATACCGAATGAGAAACTCCCTCCTGGGCACACAGAAGACTGGGCAACTTGGAAGGCACTGAACAGGCTGCATTCTGGCATGTTCACATTTGGGCATATTGAGTATTCTTGTAGAGTTTGGTCCAGATCCATCATTGTTTGAGTCCACAGTCATCTTTGGATGTTGGTGAACTACAACTCCAAAACCAAAGGACACTGCTCACCAAACCCTTCCAGTATTTTCTGTGTGGCAAGTTTGGTTCAATTCCATCGTTGGTGGGGTTCAGAATGCTCTTTGGTTGTAGGTGAACTATAAATCCCAGCCACTACAACTCCCAAATGACAAAATCAATTTTTTTTTAGTGAAGGACATACATTGGGTTGTTAGGTGTCTTGTGTCCAAATTTGGTGTCAATTCGTCCAGTGGTTTTTGAGTTCTGTGAATCCCACAAACGAACATTACATTTTTATTTATATAGATTCTCAATTTGCTTCTGACACGATAAATAAAAAATAAATACAGAAGGATAGTGTTCATTTTGCATAATTTCTTCCTGATATATGTTGAACTGTGCTTGTGTTTTTGGTGGCGTAACAACCTCTCCCTGCTCCTTTATTTCTGACTCTGGGACCAGATTTCTGGTTGAAAAAATACTAAATTTCCCTGAATTTTTCATTTTCAAGCCACGGGAAGGAAGAGTTCTCCAAGACAAGGCTCTGCCGGCTCAGAGATTACCCTAGATACATATATATATATATATATACACACACACACACATATATATATTGGATATCTCCCAGAGTGTGCTTCAAAGCAACTCGTGTCGGATTAAGAGAAAATATGACTAAACTCTGGTGATAACAGTTTGAAAAATGGATCGAATAAACTATCCTATTAAAACCAGCACCAATTAAGAACCTTTTAAAAATAACAACGATCAAAAGTAAAGCCACAGATGTCCTTAAGAGACCCTCCAGCAGCAACTGAGCCAAAGGCTTGTGAGGATAAAAGGGAAGGAGGGCAAAGAAGGGGGCCAATCGAGGACATAGTGGCAGGGAGTTCCACAGCCAACAAGGCTGCATCACCACTGTGGAATGAATGCAGTATGACACCACTTTAGCTGCTGCTGCTGATAGTAGTAGTAGTAATAATAATAATAATAATAATAATAATAATAATAATTTATTTATTTCCTATATTTTTACCCCGCCCTTCTCACCCCCCGGCGTGGGGGAACTCACGGCAACCTCACAACAAGCACCATATGATGCCATTATATTATTATTATTATTATTATTATTATTATTATTATTATTATTATTTTACTGACACAAAAGCACAGCAAACGAGATCTATATGCTGGATTTCGCATCACAAGATCACAAGTCGAACACTTCCCAAGCGTCTAGGACTGTGTGATGTATTTTCGAATGATGCGCGCAGATCCAAGTAAGGTGGCCTTATTATTATTATTATTATTATTATTATTATATTTATAACCTGCTTTATCTCTCCCAAAGTTATAATAATTATATTATTATTATTATTATTATTATTATTATTATTATTATTATTATTATTTTACTGACACAAAAGCACAGCAAACGAGATCTATATGCTGGATTTTGCATCACAAAATCACAAGTCGAACACTTCCCAAGCGTCTAGGACTGTGTGATGTATTTTCCAATGGTGCGTGCAGATCCAAGTCAGGTGGCCTTCTTCTTCTTCTTCTTCTTCTTCTTCTTCTTATTATTATTATTATTATTATTATTATTATTATTATTATATTTATAACCCGCTTTATCTCTCCCAAAGTAATAATAATAATAATAATAATAATAATAATAATAATAATGACACTTTACTTTGATCTGCACGCATTATTCGAAAATACATCATACAGTCCTAGATGCTTGGGAAGTGTTCGACTTGTGATTTTGTGATGCGAAATCTAGCATATAGATCTCGTTTGCTGTGCTTTTGTGTCAGATAATAATAGTAATAATAGTAATAATAATAATAATGGCATCATTTGGTGCTTGTTGTGAGGCTGCCGTGAGTTCCCCTACCCGGGTGAGAAGGGCGGGGTAAAAATATAGGAAATAAATAAATTATTATTATTGTTATTACTACTACTACTACTACTATTATTATTATTATTATCTGCTTGCATGGACTGTAATTAAAAGTTGCTAATGAGAACTGAAAGGTTAACTATGATAAAAACTATGACAGTGATAAGGTAAATGTTTACAATGGGTTGTTGTGTGGTCTGGTCATGTCCCAGAAGCATTCTCCCCTGACGTTTCATCCACAGCCCGGAAAACACACAACAACCCTATTATTATTATTATTATTATTATTATTATTATTATTTATACCCCGCTTTATCTCTCCCAAAGGAGACTCAAAGCGGCTTAACATAAAAGCATCAAACAATAAAACAGGCTTAAATATAAACAGTATTTTAAAAATTCTCAGTTAAAAACCATTTAAACATATTCAAAGTTTGGCTGGATGGCCCTTGAGTTCTTTTCCAGCTCTGTCACAAGAAATACAATATGCAGATATGATATGATATGTGTGGGTATGAATGGAATTGTATGAAAAAAATGGATGAATGAGAGGTAATAACTTTGGAGACACCATTCTAAAACATCAAGGCCTGCAATGACTAAGTATCTGCTTGCATGGACTGTAATTAAAAGTTGCTAATGAGAACTGAAAGGCTAACTATGATAAGTATTATGACAGTGATACGGACAAGACTGTTTGTTTTAATGGTTGTTTTATTGCTTGTGGATGTATTGTTTTTAACTTGATTTATGTCTAATTGTAGTGTATAATTGTAATTATTTGTACTTGCATTGAATTTTGCCATTACTTATGTGCAATGCTTTGAGTCCCCCTCAGGGTGAGAAAAGCAGTATAAAAATACTGTAAATAAATAATAATAATAAGTTAAATGTTTACAATGGGTTGTTGTGTGTTTTCCAGGCTGTCTAGTCATGAAGCATTCTCTCCTGACGTTTCATCCACACCTATGAAAGGCATCCTCAGAGGTTGTGAGGTCTGTTGGAAACTAGGCAAGCGGGGTTTCTATTTCTGTGGAATAATGTCCAGGGTGCAAGAAATAACATAGTTTATTGATTAGCATTCAATGGTCTAGCAGTTTCAAGGTCTGGCTTCTTACTTCCTGGGGGAATCCTTTGTTGGGAGGTGATTAGCTTACCCTGGCTGATTCTTGTCTGGAATTCCCCTGTTTTCTCAGCGTTGCTCTTCATTGACTGTCCTGATTTTATAGTTTTTAATACTGGGAGCCAGATTGTGTTCATTTTCATGGTTTCCTCCTTTCTGTTGACATTGTCCACAAACTCCTTGTGGATTTCAGTGGCTTCTCTGTGTAGTCTAATATGGGGGTTGTTAGAATGGTCCACCATGTCTGTGTTTTCAAATACAGAAGCCAGACCTTGAAACTGCTAGGCCATTCAATACTAATCAAGGTGGCTAATTGAAACATTCAAACCTACCTCAAGCAGACAAGAGTTTTTTCTCCCACCCTGGACATCATTCCACAGATATATAAACCCCACTTCCCTAGTTACAACAGACCTCACAACCTCTAAGAATGCATGCCATAGATGTGGGCGAAACATCAGAAGAGATTGCTTCTGGAACATGGCCAGACAGCCTGGAAAACACACAACAACCCTATTATTATTATTATTATTATTATTATTATTATTATTATTATTATTATTATTATTATTTGTACCCTGCTTTGTCTCTCCCGAAGGAGACTCAAAGTGGCTTAACATAAAAGCATTAGGATACAACTCAAAATATGCAAATATGCAAATATTAAACCAGGATTACATATAAACAGTATTTTTAAAAAACCCAGTTAAAAACTATCTAAACACATTCAAAGTTTAATAACTTAGTATGGGTGGTCCTTGGGTTCTCTTCCAACTCTATGAATCCAACAACAACAACAACAACAACAACAACAACAACATCACACAGTCCTAAATGCTTGGGAAGTATTCGACTTGTGATTTTGTGATACAAAATCCAGCATATATATCTCGTTTGCTGTGTTTTTGTGTCAGTAAAATAATAATGATAATAGGGATTTAAAGATATAACTTATGCAAAGACTCTGGCATAAGCCAGTCAAGGTGGTCCCAGTGGTGATTGGCACACTGGGTGCAGTGCCTAAAGACCTTGGCCAACACTTAAAAGCAATTGGTGCTAACAAAATTACTATCTGTCAGCTGCAAAAGGCTTGGATCTACACACATCATTTGCTGACACACAGTCCTAGACACTTGGGAAGGGTCTGACATGTGATCCAGTAGAGTGATCTTGTTTGCGGTGTACTAATCTTATTATGTTAATAATAATAATAATAATAATAATAATAAATAATAATAATAATACTATAATAGTAATTTCATAGTCCTGCTCGACAGAATTTAGTGGGTCAATGCTATGGATTCTTGGGAGTCGTAGTTGGGTGAGGCTCAAGACCTTGCAAAACTACAACTCCCAGGGATCTCATTGCCACTAAAGTGGGTTTTTTTTTTTGTCGTATCAGGAGTGACTTGAGAAACTTCAAGTCTCTTTTGGTTTGAGAGAATTGGCCGTCTGCAAGGATGTTGCCCAGGGGACGCCTGGATGAACTGATGCTTTTATCATCCTTGTGGGAGGCTTCTCTCATGTCCCCGCATGAGGAGCTGGAGCTGATAGAGGAGCTCATCCGCCTCTCCCCGGATTCGAACCTGCGACCTGTCGGTCTTCAGTCCTGCCGGCACAGGGGTTTAACCCACTGCGCCACCGAGAGCTCCTAACTAATGTGGTGCCAAACTGCATTAACCCTTCAGTATAGATAGACCACTAAAAGGGAAGGACCAATGCAATCTCAAAAGCTATGAAATGTCAATGGCAATTTTCAGGGTCCGGAAATTACCTTCTGTAGCTTTTCCATTCAAGTGTCCTGCAGAGGTTCCGTCTCCGTCACCAAATCCTATGCAAAGGAGACCAGAGAGGTGCATGATCATCATCATCATCATCATCATCATCATCATCTATATATATATATACCCTGCCTTTCTCCCTGGGGGGGGGGGGCTCAAGGCGACCAACACTCCACACTAAGCAAGTTTAAAAAGTGCAGTACAAACGTTTTAAAAAAAACAATTTAATTGGTGCTAGAAACAGCAACAAAAAGCCTGTTTTATGGTTCAGATACGTGGACGACACTTTCACCATTTGGAGCCATGGAGAAGAAAAACTCAACAAGTTCCTGGACCACCTCAAAAATTAATAATAATAATAATAATAATAATTAAAAAATCGTACTGCAAAGATTCTGGCACAAACCAGTAAAGGTGGTTTACTGTGGACTCAAACAATGATGGATCTGCACCAAACTTGGCACGAATACTCAATATGCTGAAATGTGAACACTGGAGGAGTTTGAGAAAAACAGACCTTAACATTTGGGAGTTGTAGTTGTTGGGATTTATAGTTCACCTACAATGAAATAACATTCTGAACCCCACCGACAATAGAATTGGACCAAACTTCCCACACAGAACCCATGACCAACAGAAAATACTATGTTTTCTGATGGTCTTTGGTGACCCCTCTGACACACCCTCACGACCCCCACAGGAGTCCCAACCCCCAGGTTGAGAAACACTGCTCTAGAACATTGGAACTCAATCACATTCTGGACAAGGTTGCAGTCCTCATCAAGGAAACGGATAGGCAGTTAGTTAGATAGCAGGGGCCTGTGTTAACTTCCCAATGTAGATACGTAGTTCTTTGAATAGAGAGTGTTTTATAACCTTTTTACGGCTTGACTCTGCTCCTGCAATTGCTGAAGCTCAATGGCTCTACTGCTGGCACGAGAAGCTTCTGATCTGCTGAACTGACTGCGACTGATGTTGTTGACGCTTTATCTTTTTAAAGATGCTTTTTTTCTCCCTTTTTGAAGTGACTCCCAACAAAAGAGAGGGAAGCCAGGGTTTGGGGTGCAAAAGGGGGAAGGGGGCTTCCCACTGAGGGTGGTTGGCCAAGGACTGCCAACCTTTCCTGGATTTTTAGAGCCTAGTATAAAACAGTATAGAATAGAATAGTATGGTATAGCATAGAATACAATAGTATAGTACAGAATGGTTTATTATTGAATGGTATATACTATTGAGTCGCCTAAGGGCTGAGAAAAGCGGTATATAAATGAAGTAAATAAATAAATAAATATAGTATAATATAGTATAGTATAGAATGGTGTACTACAGTATAGTATAATGTATTATACTATAGAATGATGTGCTATAGAATGGTATAGTATTGAATGGCATGGTATGGTATGGTATGGTATGGTATGGTATGGTATGGTACAGTGTAGAATGGTATACTATAGAATAGTAGAGTTTAGAATGGTATAGTATAATATAGTACAGTATAGTATAGTATAGAATAGTATAGTATAATCCAGTATAGTATAGTATAGTATAAAATAGTGTAGTACAGTATAGGATGATATAATATAATATAATATAATATAGTATAGTATAGTATAGTATAGTATAGTATAGAATGGTTTACTATAGAATAGTATAGTAGAGTAGAGAATGATGTGCTATAGAATGGTATAGTATTGAATGATATGGTATGGCATAGTATGGCATGGCATGGTGTACTATACAATAGTATAATATAGAATGGTATAGTATAGTATAGTATAGTATAGTATAGTATAGTATAGTATTGTATTGTATAGTATTGTATAGTATAGTCCAGTATAGTATAGTATAGTATAGTATAGTATAGTATAGTATAAAATAGTGTAGTACAGTATAGGATTATATGGTATAATATAGTATAGAATGGTTTACTATAGAATGTTATAGTAGAGTACAGTATAGAATGATGTGCTAGAGAATGGTATAGTATTGAATATATGGTATGGCATGGCATGGCGTACAATAAGTATAGTATAGTATAAAATAGTGTAGTACAGTATAGGATGATATAGTATAATATAGTATAGAATGGTTTACTATAGAATGGTATAGTATTGAATGATATGGTATGGCACAGTATGGCATGGCATGGCATACAATAAAATAGTATAGTATAGTCCAATATAGTATAGTATTTAAAAAGTGTAGTACAGTATAGGATGATATAGTATAATATAGTATAGAATGGTTTACTGTAGAATGGTAGAGTAGAGTAGAGTAGAGTAGAGTAGAGTAGAGTAGAGTATAGAATGATGTGCTATAAAATGGTATAGTATTGAATGATATGGTATGGCATGGCATGGTGTACTATACAATAGTATAGTATAGTATAGTGTAGAATGGTATAGTGTAATATAGTATAAATGGTATACTATAGAATAGAATAGTACAGTATAGTATAGCATAAAATAGTATAGTATAGTACAGTATAGAATGATAAAGTATAATATGATATAGAATGGAATACTACAGAATGGTGCACTATAGAATGGTAGCAGTATAGAAGAGTATACTATAGAATGATGTACTTTAGAATTGTATAGTATTGAATGATATGGCATGGCATGGCATAGAATGGTACACTATATAATAGTATAGTGTAGTATAGATATTATAGTATAGTAAATATAGTAAAGTAAAATCTATATAAATAAAAATGTAATGTTAGTTTGTGGGATTCACAGAACTCAAAAACCACTGGACGAATTGACATCAAATTTGGACACAAGACACCTAACAATCCAATGTATGTCCTTCACTCAAAAAAAATGATTTTGTCATTTGGGAGTTGTAGTTGCTGGGATTTATAGTTCACCTACAATCAAAGAGCATTCTGAACTCCACCAATGATGGAATTGAACCAAACTTGGCACAGAGAACTCCCATGACTAATAGAAAATACTCGAAGAATTTGGTGGGCATTGACCTTGAGTTTGTGGAGTTGTAGTTCACCTACATCCAGATAGCACTGTGGACTCTAACAATGATGGGTCTGGACCAACCTTGGCACAGATACTCAATATGCCCAAATGTGAACACTGGTGGAGTTTGGGGAAAATAGAATCTTGACATTTGGGAGTTGTAATTGCTGGGATGTATAGTTCACCTACAATCACAGAGCATTCTGAACCCCACCAATGATAGAATTGGGCCAATCCTCCCACACAGAACCCCCATGACCACCAGAGTGGGCCACAGCAAGGCGTGGCAGGGGACGGCTAGTATAGTATAAAATATATAGTATAGTATAGAATAATATAGTACAGTATAGTATAAAATAGTGTAGTACAGTATAGAATGATAAAGTATAATATGGTATAGAATGGTATACTACAGTATGATGTATTATAGACTGGTATGGTATAGAATAATATAGTATAGAATGGTATAGTTTAGTACAAAATAGTGTAGCATGCTTTACAATTTACAATTGCTTTACAATTTCTTCCTCCTCCTTCAATGCAATGGGGAACCGCAAGAGAGTGATGGGGAATGGGTGCCATGATCTTATTCTGAAGCCTAGAGAGCAACTTGGACCTCAGTCAGGAAATTTATTGATCATTCCTTACATTTAGAAATGAATATGATTTCATATATTATTTAGATTCCACCCAGCCTTTCCTTAACCTGACTCCCACCAGCTTCCTTGAACTCCAGCTTGAATGCACCTGCCTTTCCCTTTCCTCTGCATCGCAAGTCCCCAAAGACGACGGCCACACCTCATTGACCGGTTCATCTCTGTTGGCTGGGACCGTGTCCAAAATAGTTGACCCCTTGCCGCTTCCTTCCACCTTTTGTCCACGGAAACTGTTTGGAATGTATTGGACCCTCATTCTTGGCAGAAAGCGTGGCTTCCAACAAATAAATACCAGGGTGGTCGAAATCTCCAAAAAGTGAACACACCCTTGACATATAATGCAACTCCTTCTTCCTGTCCATTTCTTATGCCCTTTTCATCCAGGAGACTCATCCAACAGGTTTCTGCGATGCCTACCATATCCTATTGTCACCCCATGTTAAGATTTCAAGTTCATCTTTGTTTGTGCTGTTTACTCAAATTCTCCTGTGCCAATGAGGCTATCAAAACCTTCCTGACAGATGACCATCCATCTCTGCTTAAAACCCTCTATTGAAGGAGATAATAATAATAATAATAATAATAATAATAATCTTTATTTATACCCCGCCACCATCTCCCCAATGGGGACTCGGAGCGGCTTACATGAGGCCAAGCCCAAACAGAAAATTACAATAAAATAAAACCGAAAACGCAAACAATAAACAACAAACAACATAATTACATAAAACATATGAAAACATAGCAATATAAAATTAAAATAGGCACAGTCACAATGACAATGGGTGAGCTACATGTAATGGTCCAGATCCATCGTTGTTTGAGTCCACAGTGATCTCTGGATGTAGGTGAACTACAGCTCCAAAACTCAAGGTCAATGCCCACCAAACCCTTCCAGTATTTTCTGTTGGTCATGGGAGTTCTGTGTGCCAAGTTTGGTTCAGTTCCATTGTTGGTTGAGTTCAGAATGCTATTTGATTGTAGGTGAACTATACATCCCAGCAATTACAACTCCCAAATGACAAAATCAATATTTTTGAGTGAAGGACATACATTGGGTTCTTAGGTGTCTTGTGTCCAAATTTGGTGTCAATTCGTCCAATGGTTTTTGAGTTCTGTGAATCCCACAAACGAACATTACATTTTTATTTATATAGATTATTATTATTATTATTAGTTTTTGAGTTCTGTTAATCCCACAAACGAACATTACATTTTTACTTATAGAGATGGCCAAAACCAGAGCCTGGGGTCGTAGCTCCATTCGTAGCTCCAAGTTCCTGGTTGTCCTGTTTCTGCGCCTTATGTTTAACTCATCCTTCCGGAGTATTGCCACCCTCCTTAGAGGCATCCCCTTAATTCTGTTTCTTTGCAAAAAGGCTTCACCTTTTCCCTCCAACGAGGCAACAGGTTTTG